ACGGCCAGTCTCGACGTAAGGCCTTCTAGCTAGCCCTAGTAAGCAGACGAGAACAGGATACAGAATACAGATCACGAGTCGTGATCTGATTGGCAATTGAAACCTGACTGTGCCCGTTCATTTACAGCGCACAGGGGCCTGCTCTGTTTAATCTGAAGGCCCCGAGCAAGTTTAATTTACCTGGCAACACAAGCTAGCTGAAATATGATTGGTTAAAAACTCTACCATAATAAATAAGTTATTTATCGAGTGGCTTTCAATGTTATTTAAAATAACATTGAAAGCCACTCGACTAAGTGGAAATAATATGACGTAAAGAATACAGAGAATAATTTTGTTAACATATTTATGAAAATAAAATAACAAATTTATGTTATTCTCAGAAAAGTAAATGTACTTTTCTGAGAATGTTTAGGCCAGCAGAGAAGGCCTTGCTGGCCCTGAGGGTCAGCCACTGGTCGCAGGGGGTGGGGAGGGATAGAATTGAATTACTCTTTGGTTTCTGTCTTGAAAATTAAGAAAATTACTATTTTCATAGAAATGTCATTTGTTAATTTCTTAACATTTGTCTCCATCGTATCAAATCTGGTGTTAAATATCGATATTTGTTTCAGAATGGTTACATTTTCTCCTTCTGTGTCATGTTCCTCTTCTTGGCTTTACCAGCAGGTGGCAGACTGAGCGAATTTACCGTGTGCACCCCTGCTGCCAATTCTGTAATTAGGGAACTCTGTATTTAAGGACCAACAAACTTTCTGCTGGTTGTCGGAGAATTGTTTGACCTTGCTGCGGCTTTTGCGCAAGTGACCATTTTTTTAGGCTTCTCGTGCTTGTCGTGTTTACTCTTGTTCTTAGGGTTCTGTTTTGTAAGTATAGTTTTTGTTTTTGTTATTTTGTTCTTTGCTTTTGTGAATTGGGTTCTTTGCACTTTGTTTTGTAAACTCAGGTTAATTTTCTTCCTTGGCTTTTTTTGCAAGCACTTTTGGTTATCGTATTGTTTGTCTTTTTGTGGTTCTTATTTGACCAGTGCTTTATGTTTCTACTAGTGATGGGTCCATGAGGCGTCATGAAGCATGTTGACACACTGTGTTGATACTGTGTCACTGACCACTGACACAGTGACACCTGCTGGACTTCAAAAATCCCTGCAGGCAACCCACTTGACAGACTGAACTGACTGATTTGATGACGAAGTGTATACAATATCATTCCCATCCATGCATATTGTATCATTCAATATGTTTCAATAATGTGAAAATTATGTGAATGAGGATGCTTGTGGGCTTTGTCTTCAAAAATTTTTATTTAGGAAAAAGACGATGCTCCAGTGTTTTGAATTTCAGTCTGTTGCATATTTTTTACATGCTATTTCCCCTGCTGTGCAGAACACACGCTCACATGGCTCGGATGAGGCCGGCGTACAGAGGAACTCCTTTGCGAGGTGGGAGAGGTTTGGAAAAGAATTGTTTGTCCTTCCAATACAACAGCGGGCCTTGATTGCGTGCAATATTCCCCTCTCCCAGGTATCGCTGGACCTCAGAAATAGCATCGGCTGTTGCACCTCTTCCCAGTCTTCCCACCTCATCATCCAGATGCAGCCACAGGTCATCAAAAAAACAAAACCCAACAAAATTGGCATTATGAACAGTTTCCAAAAACAAACTAATAATGATGAGTAACATGCCAGATGTATTTGCAGAGGTGCTTTTGTCGGTGTATGATATTTCTGTAAAATGGCAAATTAGAATGGAACAAGACACAACCCTGCCGCTGGGGAGCAGTGCCCTCCCCTGGAGGTACACTGTTCCCTGGTGCCGGTCCCAAGCCCGGAGAAATGGGGAGGGTTGCGTCAGGAAGGGCATCCGGCGTAAAACTTTTGCCAAGACGGACATGCGAGTTGATAGGGCGGTTTGCAGGGACGGATGGGAATTAATGACTCGCTGTGGCGACCCCTGAAAAGGGACGTGCCGAAAGGAGAAGAAGAAGAATGGAACAAGACATGTCAAAAATCCGAGAGGCACTTGGTGAGACAAGGAGATTTGAAAAAAAAAACAACAAAACAAAAGTGCAGTATACGCACACTTAAAAGAAACAAACCACACAATTGAAGATGAGCAAGTAAAAATCCTAGGAACAGAAAAGAGATGGTTTGAAAGGGGAGTAAAGGAAGCGATTTTTGTTCAAATCAAAAGGGGTACAGCTCTTTTGACATAGGACACAACCTTAATTATGAGGTTAAAAATCATAAACAACAAAGTACTTACATGCCTTAGTGGGCCTGAAAGCAGCCATCAAAACAGAAAGCGTTAAAGCTCAAGCACTAATAATACTTTTAATTCAGATAAATATTTTTAAACCCATAAATAAATCAGGCCTTTTCATAATACATGAAAGCGATAATGTTAATATGAGTAATAAGAGAAGTAAAAGATTCTCTCCCTTAGCAAAAGTGTGCTTCGGATCGAACTAACACCGAAAATTAATGATCCCTATAATGAGGGAAGTGTTGTAAAAACAAATAACTAGAAAAAACAACAATAAAAATCATCCACCCCACACTGGATTGCTAACCAGGATAAACTAAAAGAGTAAGAAGGAACTCGGCAAACATAAAATATTAGCCTCGCCTGTTTACCAAAAACACCGCCTCTTGCATAATATGAGAATAAGAGGTCCCGCCTGCCCTGTGACCGCAAGTTTAACGGCCGCGGTATTTTGACCGTGCAAAGGTAGCGCAATCACTTGTCTTTTAAATAAAGACCTGTATGAATGGCATAATAGACATGCTGATCAGGCTAACTGAAAGTAGCTATTCAGCCCTAGCCCAAACAATAGGCCTAATCAAGACCCAATGATAGGGAGTTTAGAAACCAATGGGCCTCTTCACCATAGGGGCGTGACTAACCATCCCCACCCAGTCCTCAAACAGGCCACGCTCAGCTTTTTAGCGCAGAGCAACTTCCCGGAGTCTTCACGGAGACTTCAGGGTTGTCTACCGCTGACGAAGCTTCTGTGAGAGAAGCGAAACGTCCTTTTTTGTTTTTTGTTTTTTACCCACAGGTACAGATGACGACTGACAGAACCCTTTCTACGATGGAACTTTCCTGTACGACTGAGAGCCTCCACAAGCAAAGAACTACTGGATGCATTTCTAATTTGATATTGGTCTGGTTAATGTCACTTCTAAATAAAGTGAGGTCAGCAGTTATAGTATGTTGTATAATTTTTATCAACTAACTTAATTTATATCGTAGCATGTCGCTATCTTGATATAAAATGGCATCAAGGTGTATGTATGAATAGTTGTTCATATTGTCTTATTGTCGATGTTTTTGTTATGTGTTCATATTTTATATAAATTGTTCTCTAAAGCATAACATATCTTTGAGTATAGCTATACCGATTGTGATGTCATATCAAAGTCGTAGGTGTATCCATTGACATTTGTCCATGTTACTACTCTCTCACTCAGATGTAAATTTTTAAGTGGAAAGTATATCCGTGGTTCAAAGGTAGAACTCTCTCTTTCTCTCTCAAATATTGAAGTTGTGTGAAAAAAAATATGCAGTCCTCTCTTTAGGACAGACAACTTTTCGAGGCCTTGAATGAGACAGATGCAAAATAAGTTGTCATGCAGCATAAGAAGTCAAGCTCAGTTAGCGATGCACTTCTTGGTTTTTATTGTTTATTTTATTGTTTTAGATTCATGGCCTAAAAGTGCTTTAAAAAAAAAAAAACTTTAATTACGCTGGTCAAGAGCAAATTTTATTCAGACATGGCTTCATCCCTAAACTTATTCTCGATCCTAATTGGAAAATGACTTTGCTATTTTTTTCTTGCACATCAGATTTTTGAGATATTTTCATTTTAGTTTTTAAGTTTCACCTATAACAGCGTGTGCAATACGGATTTGACCATTAATTTTGATCTATGATGTTTCAGAAAAAACAAAGCGATAACATGGGTAATAAAGGTCAGTGGCAATGATTTCACATGTTAATGTAAATATTTGGGGGCGGAACAGTGATTGACTGGTTTGCACGTCCGCCTCACAGTGCAGAGGTGCAGGGTTCGATTCTTGCTTCGGCCTTCCTGTGTGGAGTTTGCATGTTCTTCCCGTGCTTGCGTGGGTTTTCTCTGGGTACTCCGGTTTCCTTCCACATTCCAAAAACATGCATGACAGGTTAAGGGAACACTCCAAATTGTCTCTAGGTGTGAGTGTATGTGTGCCCTGCGATTGCCTGGCAAACAGTTCCGGATCTCCCCCGCCTACTGCCCGAAGACAACTGGGATAAGATCCACCACGCCCGCGACCCTTGTTAGAATAAGGCAGATTAGAAAATGGATGGATGGATGTATACATTTGTTCATGCGTCATCAGTCGTTTAAAAAAAAAAAAATAGAGAAAAGTTGGCTGGATCATTTAGCGTTCCATTTTTTCGCAAAACCCGAAATCAACAAAATGAGGAATTGTGGGATGCAGTGATGTTAACCGCCCAGTTAACCTTAATGATGCCGTTAACTATGTGATTAAGCATTGTTTGAGGAACGCATATTTAACAGTCGGTCAGGGAACGGCCGTTTAAGAAGTTAACCGGCAGTTCAGGGTTAACCAATGGTTAAAATAACAGACAGCACACTGAACAACCGGGCATTGCTATCAAATTTTCCAATACTGCTGCATTTCTCCTTCAATACCTTGAAACGGGCCATCAGAGGTACACGTTAAAGATTGCGAACTACTACAAATTAGAAGACATCTGACACGAATAGTGATACAACAACAAAGCTGCTCTTGGTGCTTTTCTTTAGTCTTTAGCCATTATAATTTCAGCAAAAAAAAACTACTTGCATTCAGCCCCTTTCACAGAATTAGCTAAGCCCCTATCCCACTGAGGGGCAAACAATTGTGACTTGTTTGCAAAGGCGTTCACCTCAAGAGTTCTTCAGGGCTTGTTCAAGGTCGTAAAACGTTCACCTAACATTCACCAGACGTTTGCTAATCATTTCAGTGACTTTTCTTGTTGCAAGGAAATGTTGAAAATGGGAACATCTAGTGAATGGTTTGAGAACATATGTCACCTTGAATGAACCCTGACGATCTGACACGAATGATACATTTTTGTACCTTCGCAGTCCCAATTATTTGCCTCTCAGTGGGGTAGGGGCTCAACTCTTGTTGCTTTTGTCATTTTGAGCATCAAGACCCTTTGCAAAGTCCAAGTAAGTATTACACCCACTGGTTTCATGGTTATGATCATAATTTTCCTCATTCCCAAAAGCACACAATTCCAAATGAAAAGCAAAATATGCTTGTGGAGTTCATCTTTCAGATGCTCATTGAACTGAAATCTTGCAGCAATCCTAGTTTTGTCTGACTTTTGAATTGGCATTGGAGAGGTTGAAACTACTATTTACAAGTGACTTGATCCAAGGGTATTTATTGACTAGTTAAATGGCATCGAAATGTCATTTTGAGAGATTCTTCTGTATGATTATGCATTCCAAGGTTACTTTGAGGCTGTGTTTGTGTCATTGATACTACTCCTTGATGGAATTTGAACAAAAGGTATTTGGATTAGAATTGTCCCTCATCCCTCATGTCTTTCCTCTCAGCAGATGGAGAACATTAACCTGTATGAGGAACTTGGAAGAGACTCTATGGCTGTTGTCTATAAAGGAAGAAGGATGGGAACTCTGAACTATGTAGCCCTCAAATGCTGTGACAAAGCGAAAAGGCCCGAAATTACCAACCATGTAGGTTACACTCTTTTTATGCAATTATATATTTATTACATTTATACTGACAGCTATTTATCACATGTGAAGTAGATCTCCTATGAAAGTGTCATGTTTGTTCTAAACAGTGGCGATAAAAAGTCAACACGCCCTTTTTTTAACTGGCAGGTTCTTGTGGTATGAAAAAGTAAGACTCAGGTTAATCATTTTGCTCTACGCAGCAATGCTGCACCTTCATCCACGGAATGATTTTCAAAAAGACGTGCCCATGTTTGTCTACAGTACACCAACTGTGCCAAATGGACCTCTCATATACTGACTAATTTTTTAAAATGACAGATGGCAGTACAAGGCTATGCCAGAACTCACCTGGTAATTGAATGAATGAAGAAATTAAATAGAGTGTGTGACTCAGAAAGGGGGCAGAGACAGAGAGAAACACGAGGTTCATTGAGAAAAACTGGGTCCCGACCAAGTTAGGTTCATAGTCATTTTTACAGCGGTAACTGACTGAGAGCTTAGGTTACCTCTCTCTCTGAAACAGGCTAAAGTTATCCCTCTTTCTCAGGTTTTAGTAACCTCCCATTTTGAAACGGAAAATTCAGGAGTTCCCCTCATTTTAGGGTTCACAGATTTGGAGTTATCACAAAACCTGCTTTGTGAAACAGACCCCTTGTTGGTTCATTATTTGTGTTTGCTGCGTCTGTTCCTGCCGGTGAGTTCATGTCTTCTCCGAATACTGTCTTGTTTCCTTTTGTAGTAAGTTTATGTCCAGTTTTAGGTTGTGCCTTTTAATCTTGTTTTCAGACTTGATTGATTGGTTTATAATTCCAAAGTGCTTTTTTTTTTCAATGTGGAGGGAAATACAAAAAATTGCAAATGGCAGTCAGTGTTTGCACAAATCTTCCAGGCTTTTGTTATAAAGCAAAAAAACAAAACGAAATAAAAACAAAAACAGGAAAAGCCTACAAGAACATCTGAACTTTATTTGTGGTTAATCAGAGGCAACTGGTGGTGTGTGATAGCATGTGCGAACTCCCACCGAACACGCATTTGATTGTGACTGGTTCATTCTGAATGAAGTACAGCTTCATTCAGTTTTAGGAGAGCGCACACTTGTGCAACCCCAAATAACCTTGGTTATTTTTACTTCTTCAAAAAATCTTTTTTCTCGATGGAGGGATGGGTTGCACCGGTTATTGTAACATTTGGTGGAAAAAGTTTTGAAATGGTTTGTCTTGGTCTCAAATTTTATGACAAGAACCTGGCATTTGACAGTGGTGTGTAGACTTTTTATAACAATTGTACAATTTCAGTGGCTACCTTGTTCCCCAAAATTGTATTATGGCCACCAAGACATAAAATGCACCCTCTGTAAGAGTCTTGTATGCACATACCATCCATCCATCCTTTTTCCGATCCGCTTATCCTAACAAGGGTCGCGGGGGGTGCTGGACCCAATCCCAGCCATTTTTGGGCAGTAGGTGGGGGACACCCTGAACCGGTTGCCAGCCAATTGCAGGGCACACAGAGATGAACAACCATCCACGCTCACACTCCCACCTAGGGACAATTTAGAGTGTTCAATCAGCCTGCCATGCTTTTTTTGGAATGTGGGAGGAAACCAGAGTACCCGGAGAAAACCCACGCAAGCCCGGGGAGAACATGCAAATTCCACACAGGGAGGCCGGAGCTGGAATTGAACCTGGTACCTCTGCACTGTGAGGTCGACGCGCTAACCACTAGATCACCGGGCCGCCGTATGTACATATCTTTGTCTTTTTTTTTTTTTTTTGCCTCATAGGTCCGTCTATGCCAAGATCTGGATCATCCAAACATTGTACGCTTTTATGAGTGGTATGAGACCAGAAAACACTTGTGGCTAGTAGTGGAGCTCTGCACAGGTCAGTTGCGGTTCTCACATAAGTGGTTATCAATCACTGTTTTTCTAATTTTGCATGGATCTGTTCATTGGAACTTCGGGCTTAGGTTGGCATCAATATTGCACCTTCATCATTCTTGTACAGTTTAATTATGAGTTTCTTGTATCTATTTACCAATATTGGTAATTCTTTCACGTCTGGATTTGTACGTCTCCTGTCAACTTTGTCTTGAATGTGCTAGGTGGTAGCTTGGAGTCCGTGATTATTCGGGATGGATGTCTGCCAGAAAATGTTGTGAGGAAGTTCGGATGGGAATTGGTCAAAGGACTGAAGCACATCCACAAGTTAGGAATCATTTTCTCTGACTTGACACCTGCTAAGGTTTGTACATGTCAGCATATGTATCAAGCACCAACGACATCATATTCATAATATTCCCATTTTGCATTTATCATCTGAATTATCGAATTATCTCTCTTCCTATAGATCCTGCTGGATAGTAGCGGCATGGTAAAACTGGGTAATTTCTGTTATTCCAGGACAGAGACAGACACTCTTGAAGATTTCTTTTCATTGTGTTCTACATATGAAGAAATGGGGAAAAGAAAATTTGACATTAGACACCAAGACATCAAGAAAAGGTTTCAAGGTTCGTAGTCACTCCGTTGACTCTGTATGAATGATGTCCCTAATAATGTAGTTCACACATCTGTCTTCCGTTCAGACATTTTGTGTTCAGTTCCCACTGTCTGTCTCGACATGTCTTGTGATTGAATGGTGACCAATACAGGCCCATGGCGGAGTCTACTTTTTACCCCAAGACAGCAGGGATGGCTCCTGGTTTATGGGGATCCTTGTATCGGAAATTGATGGCTGGCTGACAAATATACCATACCAGGGCTAGAATCCTAATTCTAATCATTTGGATGTTATTCCTACATTTGCATTTTTGTCCTTCTCTTTTTGATACAAATTTGTAGCCGACATTCGATTGTATTTCTGTCGGGTCATTGTCAGGCCATCTATTGTTATCAGGCTCACCAACCTATATGGCTCCAGAGATTCTCCAGGGATCTGAAACTACCGCACTCTCCGATCTCTGGGCTCTTGGTTGTGTTCTCTACTACATGTACACTGGTATGGTGCATAATAAGGGAAATACTCTCCTCTGTGCTTAAGTCAGATGCATTTTTGGGGCTGCGCACATCCTCTCATCCACTAGATTGTGAGGGCTACGCTCACACCAACTGCGGTTATTCTAATGGTGGAAATGGGGAGCTAGATTTTGAAGCATTTGTTTGAATTTGACATGCCGGTCGTGCCACGCGCATATGCAGCAAGAAGTGTTGCAAGTAATGTTAATACCCACAAAAGGAATTGACTCATTAAGCGCGAACGGGAGAATATGCCCCTAAGAGCCTACCTACAGTTGAATGTATAGTTAACTTTTAACATGACATTACATTGGTCATAAAAAATTGTGTTTAAATGTAATCTTCTTGCTTTTCTAGGTAAACCACCATTCTATTCTAGTTGCTACAGTGAACTGAAGGAAATGATTGTGTGTCTGGAACCATCATCTCCGACACAGAAAGGTTCATACACTAACATAAAAAAAAGAGCGTTTCACATTAGGAATATAGTTTTTTTTTGTTGTTGTTGTTGTTCTTTTTTTTTTTCTTAAACGATTGAGTCATCTGTGTTTTTTATTCATATTATTGATGGTGAGCCCTCTTTCATAGCGTCTCCAACAACTCCAAGTCAGGATTTCCAAAATCTTCTGAAATGTTTACTCACCAAAAGCCCCGACAAGAGGTTTAAACACACAAATGTGATCCAAATGCAAAGAATCCTCTTAAGTAGATATGATTTCAATCTGAAGTTATCTTATTTGCTCTTTTTTTTGTTGTTGTTCTGAAGAATAAACTTGCCAGAGTTACTGAAGCACGGCTTCTGGATGCTGAAAGACAAGAATTAGAGAAAGAAGATGATTGACAAGAGGACCATCGTCCTGACTTCTTTATTTATTTATTGGTTTGTTCTTGTTTTGTTATGACAAAGTGGTACAACCCAACCTGCATGGTTTTCTAAACTTATATCATGAGATTTGGTCAATGTGGTTGTGTGTTGCTGCCTTTTTCTGATGAACATAATTTAACTTCAGTTACACAATGTTAGGAAATAAAGGAGTACAATAAAAGAATGGGAAATCTTGCCTCATTTTTCAAATCATCTTCCTAAAGACCACAGCTATAACTGATGCAGCTGATCAGCAGATAAAGCAGAACCTCCCTTTGAAACATTTTGCCCATAATGCCAAAGACTGGGAGTGCCTCATGGTCCACAAACCATCAGAGGGCTCCACTTAGTCTGAGCATCAATTCCGGACACTTAAGTTCATGACAGCTCTCTGAAGACAGACATGCAGCAGATGTTTGTGTGAGGTATTGATAGCCAGGCTGATTTGCAGTGCTATGCTTTGAAGTTGTCACTCAACTTGGTTTAATTAGTTCGTGATTTCAGTCTGGAATTTTCACAACCACTTAAAAGCGGTTACAAAATCTGCTCAGTGAGCAGATCGCGAAGGTAAGTACTTGGTTCAAGTGGAACAAATAATCTTTGAATATTATCCATCCATTTTCTGATCCACTTTATCCTCACAAGGGTCGCGGGGTGTGCTGGAGCCTATTCCAGCTGTCTTCGGGCAGTAGGCGGGGGACACCCTGAACCGGTTGCCAGCCAATCGCAGGGCACACAGAGACGAACAACCATCCGCGCTCACACTCACACCTAGGGACAATTTGGAATGTTCAATCAGCCTGCCATTCACGTTTTTTGGAATGTGGGAGGAAACTGGAGTACCCGGAGAAAACCCATGCAGGCCCGGGAAGAACATGCAAACTCCACACAGGGAGGCCGGAGCAGGGATCGAACCCACGACCTCTGCACTTTGAGGTCGACACGCTTCTTTGAATATTAGTAAAACCAATTGTATTGTCTTCTTCTTGAACAAACAAAAATATAGTGATCATGATATGAACACAACTATATGGTAGACTTATTAAAAGAATTGATCTTACAAAATTTGAAATAATCCATATTGCTCAATCCATAAATTAAAAAATATACATAGATGAGTTGGTTAAAAAAATGATTGAAAATTGTAGGATTATTTTCAAACCAAGACATTTGCTTCCATTAGAGGCATTATCATTGTATCATTGCATCATCTGGACTATAGTAATATTATCTGGAATAATACTTACCCTACATATGCTGTGAAATTACTCATATTGAAAAAAAAATTATGATTCTGCATGTGTCTTCCTTGAAAACTTGTGATGCGATTGCCTTCTTCAAGAGGGAGGCCTTGTGAGTCCCAATACTGTACCTTGAAATAAGGTCATGTATCGGTCTCATACCGATACCTGGTATTGGTAGTTGCCTATCCCTAAAAATAACCTTGGTCTGGTTCCCTTTGCAACCTTTAACAAAGGATTTGTCCAAAGTTGTGTGCTGTGCAGTGCTGAAACGAACTGCGCAATATGGAACAATTGGGTTTGTGAATGTGCCCAAATCTTGACAGCCTCACTATTGTTGCTATCCCCCACTCATTCTTTTGAGTGTGGTCAAAAACTGCATCAGGGCTAAGCTTGAAGGCATTGTCTCTTCTGACTCTCACAAGGAAACTTTAGGTGGACTGTTTTCTAAGCCAAGACACTCATGCAATGTGTTCTTGTCAGAGTCATCATAGTCACAGAAATTGACTTAAGTTTGTGCATGTTTGGATAACCTTTTTAAGTGACTGTTAAAATTTGGATTGTAAAAATGATTGGTCCTTATAGTTATGTGTCATTCGTTAAAGTTAACAATTATCCAGATCAAAATGGTATGAATCATGCTGTGCCAAAAGAAGGTGTTAAAATACTGTACACGCTGCTGTCTGAATGTATTAGTTTGTGGGATAATTCGCTGGCCGTTATACTTCTGTCTTTCCATAACAGAAGTATACCGTATTTTTCTTCTTTTGGTTAAATCAAATTTACCAACACCAGGGTAGGCAACTCCGGTCCTCCAGAGCCGCAGTCCAGTTTGTTTTCGACGTTTCCCTCTTTCAACCAGAGGCGATTGCTCTAAGACCGCAAGGGAAGCTGAGCTTCCCCTAAAATGTCAAAAAATAAGTGATCAAATATATGTGTGTACATACAATTGTGTGTACATGTCAGTGACTAAATATACGCTACAACGTGCTCAACTTTTGTTCCGAATAAGCTTCTTATTACTGGTTACGACGCGACTCTCTTCTCATTCGTTCCCGCAGCTTCACTGTGCTTTAAACTGTGTGGACGCTGAGCGTCTGCAGCGCAGACGCTGGGTGTCTGGAGAGTTCAGCTGGGTTGTACCAATGCATTGAAACGAGACGAGTCATTGGATAAATGCTGGTTTTGTCCCGCCCACCGGACGCCCAGCGTCTCTGGGAGTCTATGGACAGTGGGCGTTTATGGGCTGGCCCGGACGCTGAGCTTTTCTGCATGATGATTGGATGACCTGTCTTGAGGCTGAATGTCTTTTGATTGAGAGCGAAATGAGCCAATCACCGATCTTTTGGTGCTGGCATCCGTGGGGGCATTTTTCAATTCTCATTCTGTTCTGAGTTGAACGGGAGACGTCGTCTTGTCATCTTAGTGTAAGTCGAGGGGTTCGTAGGTTTTTCAGTGGATGGCTCTTCTTTACGAATGACAGATGGAGAGATGGAATCCTTTAATGCAGTTTATTAAAAAGAGAAATAAAATAAAAAAAACGACTGCACCTCCGAACGGATGAACGAGAACACAACCCCCTTTCAGTCACGAAAACCCTTCCTGCTTCTCTTTAGCCAATCAGACGCAAGCAACATAAAAATAATTGTTGAAACATCAATTATTAAACAGAATATAATTTAGATAACTATAACATAAAAGAATATAATGCTCAAATATAAAATGAAAAGAATTGATAATTTAACATAAGCTTACATTAGCGACACTCTGTTGAAAACGACGAGCGACAAATTAATCTTTTATTTCTGGGGGTTTTATTGTAGTTGCTTGTGTTTGCAGACTGAATTATATCACCACAGGGTCACAGATCATTTTCTTGAAAAAAAAAACCGGAGAGTTGAATTCAGGTATAAATAAATAAACGGACACATTTTATGATGTAGGCCGAAATTGAGCTTCCCCTCCTTGACAGACCAGCATCTGCCTCTGCTTTCAACATACCCGATTCAAATAAACAGCTCATCAGCAAGCTCTGTAAAGCTTTATAACGATTCTGATCATTTGAATCAGGTGTGTCGCAAGAGGGAACTTCGAAAACAAGCAGAATCGCGGCTCTCAAGGACCAGAGTTGCCGACACCTGACCTACACATTTTATCAGCAGTAGTTTTTTCAAATGACATTGTTTTAGTAATCTTGTTGTTTTTAGCCTTATTATTGTTATTATTATTTGTTTATTTATTTATTTTAGATACATAGAATTTGCTCGTCGAACGCTCCAACACCCTCAACTTCTTGTTTAGTTTGTTTGTATCCTAGCAACACCGGAATAAACCATGGAAAGGTATCCTCTTGTACGAAATGAAGCGTTGAACACTGGTAAACAATGCCATTCTCAGACAACGTGTTTGTGTAAAAACAATGAAAATAAAATTTTACACGTACATATAAATATAAACATTCATATAATTCGACTGGTGTGATTTGTTGCGACTTAAGTATTTCATTCGCGCCCCTCGGCTGGGTTGAAGTGACCCGCATCATCCGACTTCCGGTTAGGAGAACGACGTGTTGGAGCTCCACGAAATATAAAAAGGTATTTATAGCCATTACATAGAAATACGTTGACATTACTTTCATAATTATTTTGTATTCACCTCCCCTTACTGCCTATTAAATTTCATGGCTCAATTTGACAAACTACATAATTTCTTCTCACATCAGATGGAGAACTTCATTCTGTATGATGAGCTAGGAGGAGGATCAACATCTATTGTCTATAAAGGAAGACTGAAGGGAAATCTAAACTATGTCGCCCTCAAATGCAGTGACAAAGTCAAGAGACCCGAGATCACCAACCATGTAGGATTTCAATCGTTTTTATTGCATTATATAGGTTGTAAATGAAGAGATTGTAGATGGACCAACACTCAAATTTGTCAAACATGTGAGTAGTGTTACTTCTCTACTGGAATGACCAAAAGAAGATTGACATTGTCTTGTTTCTCTGTTTTGTTGCAGGTTCGTCTGAGTCAAGATCTGGATCATCCAAACATTGTTCGCTTTTATGAGTGGTATGAGACCAGAAAGCACTTGTGGGTAGTGGTAGAGCTCTGCACAGGTCAGTAACTAATGAACGGTCCTCAATCTTTACTTATATACTGTACTTCTTTCAGTATGGATCTGTGAAAAATAATTCCCCTGATTATGTTCCAAAAGGTGTTACCTATTTTCTGCGGCATAGTAATGCACATGTGTGCTTTTGGCATCAACTACATTCTTCTATTGTCTGAAACAAAATTCGCATAGTTAAATTCTTTCTCTCTCTCTCTCTCTCTCTCTCTCTCTCTCTCTCTCTCTGTCTCTCTCTTGTTAAGATATGATTCATCTCTGTTAGCTGGATTTGAATGAAACAATTTAGAATGCTGTTGAAGGTATTTCCTGCTTACTGTGATTACAATCACCTTTGGTACCCCCTTACCCCCACTACTTTTATGACCCCTCCAGAGTACATGTCAACATCAAAAGAGGAACTGTTATCTCAAGTATCTGTGTTGCAGCTATTGAGGGACTGCGTTTTACTATGAGTACAATTGCTCTCAGTCTCTTTCCTGAACATTTGTTTGTACACTTAAAACAACGTATGTAGTGTTAAAGTTTATCTTCTTCCTGCTTGGTTGATTAACAGACCCCTAAGTGTCTTCTGTTATTCCCCCGCGCCTTGGGTCAGTCCCTGATCGCTGTAAAGCCCCCTTGGGAAGCCCTCTTATCTCAGGATGTATACACAGCGGGGGTTCTGGAACTTGCTATCACACCAAATGGTGGGTCGTGGTGGTTTGGTCTCACCCCACCACTCCAAATGTCTTCCAGCCACGCCGGGTCAGATGTCATGTTACTTTCCTTGTTTCCGGGATTTGCATGAGAGGCGTACCTAACCGCCTCTCATTATCATATTGTCTCTATATAATCTCATGAATGTGTTTCTTC